AGGGAGCAGACCCCACAAGGGGAGGTGGCCGTGGTCCCGGGTCCCAGAGCCTGAAAAAGGGACAGGCAGCCCCTGCAGCCGAGAGCCAGGGGCTCTGTCTGCATGGAGCCTGGGACCATGGGCTTCGTCTGGGGGGCCGTCTCTGAGGTGCTGGGGAGGGTCACAGACCCCAAGGGGACCCTTGGGGTGCAGCGCGTGCCCATCCGCATCATGCCGCTGGTAGGCTGGCTACGGCTGGGACTGTCTACCCTGGGAGGCTCACAGGGCATTTCTTTTCACCATCTTTATTTTATTTTGGTTTCATCCTTTTATGTTAAGACCCAAGACTTCCCTGACTCCAGTCAAGTGAGGTTTCCCAGATTCCAGTTGCTACTCCTGTCAAGTGACGCTTCATTTGGAACAGGATGCTGATACTTTGACTCTGAATATGACTTTTTCCCCAAGTTGCCTGGATTTAATATGTCCTTCCTGTGACAGATCTGTGCCTGTGGCTTCCAAGTCAGTGGTCTCAGGGACCCTTTCTTAGTGTTGCAGTGTACCCATTGAGGACCTGGACCTCTCAATCAGGGTGACCCAGGAGATATAAGCCAGACCATCCAGGATCTTGTTTTGTTGTCTTGCAGGATTGCTTATACAGCCTTTGTATCTTATCTCCTTAGAGTAAGAGCATTCTTCAAATCCAGGGTAAAGTGGGACTCCAGATAATTGATCTCATTGGGCTCAGCCTGGCTGAGACAGTTTGTTTGCACACCTGTATTTGAGTTGCACACAGTTTGGTAGCCTCTCCCTCAGCTTAGTAAAGTTATACTCAATTATTTTAGCTTATTTTGATCCTCATGCAGATGATCAGTCTGTCATTTCCTCTCCAGTAGTGTCAGTACTGAAGCTTCTCAAGTACCTGATTTTAGGTGTTCCCTCTGGTGAAAAATCAAACGCTTCTGTGGGGCCAGGACATAGTCCTGAAAGCTCTGATGTACTGTTTAAACCCCTGAAAATTTGCTTGCTATTCCACCTATAAATACAACCTTTTTGGTGTCTGTCATCTCGCCAACAAGGGTGAAGAGCCAAACACAGTAGTGATGACAAATCAGATCCTCTTACAAACAGACCCAAGTACCTGCCCTAAGGTTGTCAGTAAATTTCAGTTTAGTCAATATGTTCACCTGTCTCTTCCAAAACCTCACTCTTCAAAAGTGGAGGCAGCTTTGTATATGATCTTTATTATGATAACCTCATATATCAGCACAGAATTAAGTCTTTGCAAAAATTCCCTCAGCTATTTGTTTATATAGCCAAAAGATATAAAAGCACAGGAATTTCAGGCCAGTGATTGTCTTACTGGATCAGAAATGGTGTCAGACTTTTTTGAGTGGCTGCTACAATGCACTCGGCAGCAGTCAGATTTCACTCCATCAGAACCCATGTGATGTCACTGACTTGCCTGCAAGGTGTCTCTCTTCGTGATGTCTGCAGTGGTTCTACTTAGAACTTAGTGTGGAACATTATGCCATTGCACATGCCGTCAGAGCAGATACTCTGTTTAGCAAAGCCTGCTTCCAGCTGCTGTTTGCTTAGATGAAGCGGGCATTGCTTTGGAGTCACCCATAGTAGAATATGCACTCAAAGGAGAAACATACATCTCTACCCAGCAATTATATCTGTGTAACAGGGGCGGGCCTGCTTGGGGTCCGTCTACTGGTGGCCCTACCCACCTGTTATGGGCCAACTGCCTGCCTTCTTGCCTGCCATGGCTTGTTAATTAAGCAGGAGGCTGCCCATTGAATGCCGCGATGCCAGGGGGCGCTATCTGCTGCTCCGTTCGTCCCCTACACCGCAGCCCAAGCCTTGCAGATGGTATTTGTAAATTCCTCTTTATGTTGGGGTCTTGGTGGCTGTGGACTTACCCCTTCTCTCTCTAAGCTAGGCCTGTCAGTCAATAAACCCACTAATCAGGGTTTGACTCCCAGGCTCTAGCTCTCAAAAAAAAACTCACTTGGGCTCCTGCACCCTCTGTGGCACTGGGGTCTGGCTCACCCCCCAAATACTGCACCCTCTCTGGTATCAGGGTCAGCTTACCCCTGAATATTGTGCCTTCTCTGGTGCTGGGGTCCCCACACTGCAGTGGGCCCCCAACGAGGCCGCCTCCTTCCCCAAGTAGCCTCACCCAAACCACTGATCT